CGGGAGAGGAGGGACTTGAGAGAAGGGTCGCGGTCGATGAAGGATGTGAGGAGGTAGGTCCCATTTTCGACGACCGTACGGAAGGAGAAGATGAGGAGGGAGAGGAAGAAGAAGGTGAAGAGGTTGCCGGCAAACGACGTCGTCGCTTGTCTCAGGACTTGGGCGGTGCTGCGCAGGTGGTTCAGCCGTGGATGCTGATCGCTCATCGCGGTTTTTTTCGAAAAAAAACGTTTCTTTTTTTTCTTCTGTTTTTCTCGGCGTTTTTTGTTTTTGTTTTTATTGTTGGTGTGAGTTGTCTTGTGACTTTGTGAGGAGAGAGAGAGAGAGAGCACGAGCGATTGGTGTGTGATACAACACTCAGAGAAAAATCTACACGCGTCGTGTTGTAGAGCTACGACGTCGTCTGGGAGATGAATACAAGGTGAAGGTCATATCAGCCAATTTGTCTTGTCTGATGAGGCAGTTTGTGAGCGTCACAAATTAGACGTTCGAAAATTGATGTTTTTTTCATGGGTAAAAACTATTATATTGTGTTTTTACTGCGTCGAAAAAATTAAACTTGAGAAATAGTAATTACCTTTTAAAATTAGCTTCTCAAACTCTTCCTACCCTCACACATGAAATGTTTTTTTTTTATTGGGCAAGTACTTGGACCATTTTTCATCATCCTTGATGATGGGCCAGCAGTATAATGCGATCAAATATTGACATCCCCAAAGTTTATTTTGTGAAATGCGGCCAACATAATAATTGGATGATGATAAACTGAATAGGAAAGACGAAAGAGAAAGTAGCTAGCATTCCTCAACACAATATAACATACATATAAACTTTCTCCTCACTAGGTTTAATGGGCAATTTCCGGATGCATCGTCCATCCAAATGACTATAATAATTAATAAGCAAATACAAAGATAGAATACTAGAAATAGACTTCTAAACAATCAAAATTTTAAATAACACATAGGAAGTAGAGACGGACACAAAAGGAATGGCTTAATTGAAATCAGGCTTCTCTGGGTAGGTGCAGCCAGACCTTTGGATGACAACATTCGCGGCATAGTTGCCTGCTTTCACACAGTCTTCGACTGGTTTCTCTTGAACTAACTGAGATAGAAAACCTCCAACAAACGCATCCCCTAGACCAAAAACAACATAACAAGTTAATCACAATTTCAATTGTTAGTCACTGTTACTTTAACTAATCTGATGGAGCGACATTGATAAAAGTCGTAATCTTATGTGACAAACATTTGGATGCTTATGCTAATGCTTTCAAGAATGCCCTACAAGCTGCTACACAAGACATACCTGCTCCGTTGGTATCAACCAGTTTTTCTTTGGGCAACCTTATGACTGGGAACTTTTTCACTTTCCCATCCTCAGCAACAACTACGGGATCTGCACCCTGAGTAATAACAGTAATCCTCTTGTGTGTTCCTGATGCTTTGGGCCACTGGGAGATCTTTAGAGCTATTTGCTCGACATCATCAGTCTGTTAACTCAATCAATCAGAATCAATTAACACTATGAGTGGAAACCATTAATGTGGTCTGGCACTAGGCAATTACCTCCCAGCCATGGACTTTTGAAAAGGTTCTAGCTTCCGTCTCATTTCCAAAAACAAAGTCCATATACCTAAATTTCAATAAATAAAAAAAGGCACATCTACATCAGTATGTCCATATTACTCTATTACTGTAACAAAAAGGATAGGAACTTACGGCAAAACTTTCTCCTGAGCATCCTTGAAAAATTCACAGATAAATGGAGCAGAAAGGTTCATTGAGAAAACCTGCAGATAAAGGGAAGGTCAAGACTGTTTCTTGCAAACGCGATTAAGAGCAGAAAACAAGATGAAATTTCAAAGATATAATATTTCAAACCTTGTTAGTTGCAGCTGCATGTTCAGCAACAAGCTGAATGGAGTCTGGGGATACAGTAAGAAAAAAACCAGCAATATAGAAGTACTTGGCCTTCTCAACTGTCCAGTCAAGATTTTTCAGAGAAATTGGGTCAGAAGAATGCATTACTAGAGAAATGAATCACAAACCTAAAACACAAAGGTTGAAAGGGTACCCAAAGCCCAATTTTCTGGTCTTTTTAAATGCTCAAACTTGTAGCAGTTAGCAGCTGACAAATTGGCAATAAGTGACCTGCATATACATACCGCATGATTATTGTCAGTCCACTAGACTGAAAATTACAAGTATATTTTACAGCTACACTAACATTTAGAGGACAGTTAATTAATTGGAAAGCATAATTTGAAATTTCAAAACAAGCTTGATTTTAAACTGACCTTTCACCACCTACAACACAAACGGCACAGGTTCCTGTTGGTGCAGACTCATCCTCATAATAGTGAACCTAGTTCAGAACAGCAATAGGTAATATAAGTCGGTGAGACAATTTATGAGGAAAAAGAAGTTTTACTTTTTTGAACTGCAAAAGAGTTCCTGTCTTTGCGTGTGTACCTTATTCATAAGTAAGGAATAATGCAGAAGGAAACAAAGAGGACACTTACATTAACACCAGCAAGTTTTGAGTTCTTCTTCATCTCTTCCCCATACTTGTCCTTTCCTATGGAACCCATATAACTTGTTGCACCAGGTATTTGAAGCATCCACTGCAGAAGGTAAAGAGAAATACACTCAGTGGTGAATTGATGAAGGATATAAAGGATCGAATTTAATTATCACAAGAAACATTTCATGAAGTACCTGGGCAACTCGGATTGAATTTTGAGTAGCACCTGCAGAAATCAAAAGTTCAAATTCAACTCATTGTGAACGTATTTATAAGTTTAATATATCCACAACAAGACTGTTTGAAAAGCCAGGCGATCCAAAATCGATGCTGTACCTCCAGCAATGTACTCCACATTATACTTGGAAGACAATTCATCATACCTGAGACAAACATCCATGTTGGTCAAGATTTCATCCAGCTAAAGATATGTCTAACAACAAAGTATTGTGTCACAGTCGCATCAAAGAGTTGATGACTTTAATTTTACATAAATGAAACTGTTGAAGACCTTTTAGATAAATATAAACCCTAAGCTCTCCTTACTCCTTCGTAGGCGTACATATATGATATTTGTTGAATGGAAAGAGTAACACATTTTAAATTCCAACTGGTCATGTCAATGTAGTTTAACTAACACACGGTTCACTTTCCCTCTCTTTGAATTGGAAAATTAAGCAAAAAATAATGATCCACAAAATCTCTAACAGATTCATATCTAGTCTACAAAAGTACACATCCTAAATACAAGATTAAATTGCTTACATGGATAGGTGCTTGTCCTCGGCAAGAATCGCATTGTTGAGCTGCAGGTCATATCTGTTACACAAAAGCAAACAACATCATGTCTCAAATCAATCCCAGGACACCAAATTACGTGTTCCTCTAGTTCAGCGTAGAAGGCCTAAGCTTAAAACATGAGCTAAAACTACATAGTTGAGCTAGAAAAGCTCAAGCTAAGCAACAGATCAAACAGCTGGAGGGCTAGGAGAAGCTTCATGTATCTAAGGATTGAGCAAAAGAAAAGCAAAAGGGGTTGAGAGAAAGCGACGTACTTTTGCAAGAACTCGTCGTCGACGACGGCGGAGATGTCAAGGAGGGGGTTGCCCATCCCCAATAGAATTCCTTCGTACGCCATTGGAGAGGAGAAGAAATGTGAGAGAGCTAAAGCTGAAGATTTGGGTTTAACAAAGAGTAGCAAGTAGCAAGATTCAGAAATGAGATCAGATCTATATTGGTAATGGTATTGGGAGTCAAATGAGTAGATATATAGGTAGAGAGGTTTGCTTCTGTGCCTTTGCAGTGAAGTGCGGTTAGTGGCTCCCTCGCTATTTCACCAAACCAATCCCACTGGGCACGCATACTGGGGAAAGGCTTTTCCCACTATTTGGGATTTTTTTTTCGTTAATTCTCGTATTTTGTTAAAGAATAAGTAAGAAATTATTCTTTCTTTTTTCTTTTTTAATGGAAAAAACAGTTAAGGGGAGAGGGGAGGCTGCCTCATCCTAGGGTCAGGGCATATCAAAGCCTATTTGATGACTTACTTATAAAGAGGGTTTTATAGTATAGTATAATATGCTAAGACTCGAACTAAGGACCTCTATTTAGGGAGTAAGCAATTGCTCCAAATCACTATACTAGTAGGTGTTTACTATTTTGCTTATTGTAGTACAAAATAATGCCTAACGTGTCTACTAATAAATTGTTTTGGGCCTCTTTTTTTTAAAATTTTTTGTTTAAAGCAAGTTGTGTAATATTTTGCTTATGGTCTCAACTCAACTAGTATGTGAACTATAATCCTTTGTTAAATCAACCACCGACACAATTGGTTAACTAGGTAATGAAGAAAGAAATTTGAGTTATTATAAGAAAGATCCACATCCAAATGTGCAAGAATTATGAAAAAGATCCTTGGGGTCGTTTTGCAATATAACATACTTGTGTATGTGGGGACTCGTGTGCGCTTGTTTTGACACATTTGTCCACATGGGAGAAGTGGATGAACCAGAGGAAACAGTTGAACTTGAAACACTAAAACGAAAAAAATCTAGGATATAAGGTAAGAGGGAGACACATAGGAAAAACATCATATGATTCAAATTATTGTGTTCTTATTTCACCAAAATTTTTGACAAAACAATAAAATAATACCATAGAAGATCCATGGCACAATGATTCTCTGAGAAGGCACTTGAACACAAAATGTTTATTTTGAAAAATATTGCATAGGAAGATGAATATGTAAATATGTGAATATGTTAGTTTCTCCACTTTTTGCCCTTCAAACCTCTCCATGACGGGACAAAAATCTTGTAATCATCCAAGTGAAGTGATATTATTCCCCTTCAGAAACAACTGAAGAAACGAGAAAAAAAAGTTTGAAAACATGACTCCAAAAGGAGTCGCAATAATCTGTTGACTACGAATCCAAAAATCCCAAATCCTACTAAGCATCATCCTCTCAAAGATGATCGCAGATTGCCTTCGTAAAGTCGGAAGTTGACGATGCGCCACCAAGGTCAGCTGTTCGGAACTTCCCCTCGGCAATTGTGCTGAGGATTGCATTTTGGATCCGATCAGCTTTATCATGGAGCTCCAAATGGCGTAGCATTGTAACAGAACTTAGAAGCAGAGCAGTTGGATTTGCCAAGTTCTATGAAATTTAAACAAAAGAAAGATGACTTAGGAGCAAATTGATACTAATACATACAAAACCTATTTCCAAACAAGCAGAGCTTAATAAGTTTACCCTCTGAAAAAATAAACAATTCATATAAAATGTACTCAACAATATCAATCCTAATATGGCTTTCATTATCAATTTATGCTAATCCTCTTAAATAGGACCACATCAACAGTTACCAAATACTAAACGATAGGATGGGGTAGATGAGGGTATTGAATGGACTTCTTGTGTAATTACATACATAGCAGATTGAACATCACAAGGTTCAAGAATGCTCACCTTTCCAGCAATATCAGGTGCTGAACCATGTACAGCTTCAGCAAGGGCAATGCCTCCCTCACCAATGTTGCAACTACATAGGAATGCAATTGGTGTAAGATGATATTTGGTTCGTACTACAGAAGGGAATTAAACATGCATATATTTTAAGCCATACCTCGGTGTTAATCCCAAACCCCCTATCAACCCAGCACAAAGGTCACTAATAATATCACCATAGAGGTTAGGCATGACTAGCACATCAAAAAGTGCTGGATTCTTCACAAGCTGCATAAGGTAAAACAATTAGTTAGCGAGACCTTAGTTTTTTCCTCTAAAAACCCCCATACTACATGCTTAATGTATAGTTTTTTTCCCCTTCTTTATGGTAAATAATAAAGTATAAAAATTAAAAAATTTCCCCAAGTTTAAAGGGAAATTTATTCATACCATCATACAGCAATTATCAATGACGACTTCCTCGTATTTTATGTCAGGGTACTTCTCTGCAACCTCACGACAACACTGAAGCAAAGATCAAACCAGTTTTGATACGAGTATACTTGGGAAAACAATCAACTAGAATGTAGTTAGCAAACCTTAAGAAAAAGACCATCAGTTTTCTGCATAATGTTTGCTTTGTGTATCGCAGACACTCTCTCTCTTCCATGGGTTTTGGCATAATGGAAAGCATACTCAGCCACCCTCAAGCTTGCCTGACGGGTTATGATCTTGAGGCTCTCAACAACACCTCGCACCACCTACCACAAAAACAAGGAACTTAATCAAATTTACGTACATAAAAAATATCTGACTGTTATTCTGCTGATTCTTTAAAGACTTACTTGATGTTCAAGTCCACTATACTCCCCTTCTGTATTTTCACGAATAGTGATAAGATTGACATCATCATATCGAGTTTTATATCCAGGAAGGCTGTAACAAGGCCTGACATTTGCATACAAATTAAGTTCTTTCCTCAGAGTAAGGTTCAATGAACGATGACCTTTCCCAATTGGTGTGGCCATTGGCCCTTTCAAGCCTACCCGGTTCTTTCGTACCGATTCTAAACTTTCCCATGTTAGAAAACTCTGAGTTCTAGGATCAATTTGGTCCCCAACGTAATGCTCTTCCCATTCAATTGGCACTTCAGCTTCTCTGAATACCTGCACCCACGCAAATTTTGAACTGAATCAGAACTTGAAACCATAACAGAGTAAATACAGACAACAGCCATCACACACCATTAGTTATTAAACTAGGACATTGTCCTAATCATGCAAGAACTGAATTTCGGCATTTAAATTATCGACATTTTTCTGGGAAATGTGATCTCTTCTTTAAATTTGCATTTTTATGATGAGGTAGCTCCCTGATCGATTCAGGAAAATAAATTCCCGTTGAAGCAAACTTCACAACAAATCAAATCATCAAACTCTAAACCGTTCAAAAATACTTGATCAGCCAAAAATTATTATCTTAATAACAGACTAATATCCAATGAAACATCTAAATTCCACTAAGATTTCAAAACCCTATACTTTAAACTTTCAAGTGCATGTCAGTGCAAGTGTGCGTATATATGTCTGAACGCACACATACAATACATACATACAGATATTAATATACAACTCTGATGCAAAATAAAAGGGGCGCAAATGGAAAATTGGAACAGAAGAAGGCGATAGAGATCGGAGAGGGACCTGTTTGACGGACTCGGCGATCTCGGGGCCGATACCGTCGCCGGGGAAGAGAGTGGCACGGATCGGAGTGGAATCAGACGAGAAAACCCTAGCTGCCTGTGATGATGGTGATGAAGAAGATAGCAGGCTAGGGCTAGGATTCGCGGCGCCGGAGAGAAACTGGGTCGAGCGGCTTCCGAGGGCGCGCCTCAATAGGTGGGAAGCCATTATCGCTGCTTGTGTAATTTGGCGATCGAAGAGAATAACACAAAACTCTTTTCGGTCTATAACTAAATGAACAGACAGACTGGAAGAATATTATTATTTATTCCATTGACTAGCAATAATTTTATTTTTTTCAATTTCTTTTGTTGGAATAATATATTCTCCGCCAATTACTTATTTTCTTTTTTTAGCCTTAAAAGAAAACCTTTATTTTGGAAACAAAATGTTAAACTTTTTTTTAATAAAGGAGAAAGGGGATTATAATACAATTACACTAAACATTTTATTTTTCGGAAATATAAATTAGACTAAAAAAAAATTGAAGCTTACAGAATTTTGGGAATAGGATGATACATGTCGAAAAAATAAAAGATGAAAGACTAATAACACTAAACCTAATGCTAACGAATCTAGTCTAGTGGAAATGGACCTTAACTTACATACAAGGGATTTCAAGTTCGAACTTCATGACATCTTAAATGTATGTGTATGTATGTGTGACTTCCATGCAAAAGACTATTACTTGTACTCAATAACACTAAACCTAATAGTTTCACAAACCTTGTGAGAACTTTTTTATTTATTGTTTGATGAAAAACATAACTGAAATGGTCTCAGTTTCTGCAGCCTTAGGCCTTCTGAGAGCTTTAAACCCACCAGGAATGGTCAATGGACTTTATATGCGAGTCTTGTTATGCTCCCTTATACTTACACAACTTATTAGTTGGGTTGGGTCAGGCCCAGAAGATACTCTTACGTCTTACCCTGTCACTTCATTCTATTCTTGTGCACAATTTTGATGTTCCTAAGAGCATTTCCACTGAGAGGCCTCCGAGCAAGAGACCTTCTAGGCCCCCAATTCAATTTCCAACGCCCAAGTCAGGCCAAAGTAAGAGCTGGGCTCTATCAACCTGGGCAAGTCCAAACGCAAGACTTGTATGAATTGCTATATGAGCATGCTGACCTAATGCTAACGTCATTGTGACGTCAACAACCAATTTAAATAACAAAAAAATTGAAAAAATACTAAAGATTTCAGATTTTATTTTATTTTATAAATACCTGACCATATTCTTCACTTCCCACACCAAAACTCTATACAAATTCCTCTCATCATATATTATGTGGATAGTGGTTGCCATGGCAATGGGTGGAAAACCAACAACAAAAAATTGATAGGGCAGGCACTATTCATGTGAATAGTAACAACTTTTGCTTCCCCTTCCTTTTGCCTTGACAAATGAGTGGAAATGCTCTAATGAACATATGATTTTTAGCTCCATTTTCTCAACCTAGGCAGACTTTGATAGTTTGTACTTTTGAACTTGTGGGTTTGATTAGCGGGGAATACACACTTTCTTCTAACCTTCGATAGATAGTCATTCACACATGTTTAGACAATTGTTAATCATGAGTGCTTATGGACTTTACAATGGATTAAACATACATCAACAACGAACGGACGTCTACATGTGCTTGAATACTTGTGAAAGCAAAACTCATACTTGGAACTTAAGTTTGGTTTTAAACAATTACTCGATAGCAAAACTCATCTTTAGGCATTGAAGTATAAAACCAGGGGACTTAATGCTGGCACAAAATGGATGCAAGTTAGTGCACGATTCACAAGCATGGATGATTATTTCATTTGGTGGTTGGAATCGATTGTGCAGCAAAAGCTCAGACAAAATAATGTATCAAAATAAAAGGCCCAAAAAAAGGAGAAGAAAGACAAACCAGAGTCTTTCAGTGCCCCAATTGTATCTTTTTGTTCAAAATGAAGCCTTGATGGTGTCACATCTCTGAGACTAGAAGTATTAAATTTAGCTTTATGCGACAAGCAAAATAACAATAAAGCTGCTAATGGGTCAGATTTTACAACACATGCTAGAACTGATAAATTCTTCATCCCAACCTTCTCTAGCAGTTGTCAGGCTTTCACAACCTCCTACTGCACACAATTCTTCATCCCAGCAAGTCTCAACATCACAAACTGTTCAAAGAATGAGACTGAAGTCTCCAACAAAGAAAGGAAGGCCATGGAGAGTTTGAGATGATGTTTTATGGAACTGTAATTGGTTTTTGATGGAAGTGGTCTAAGGTTTTTGATGTATGATATTGTTTTTTTTTATGGAAGCTTTCTAAGGGTTAAAGTGATGAAATTGAAAGTGGTTTTTGATGGAAGTCATGTAGGGGTTAATGTGATGAAACTGAATGTGGTTGATATGATGTAATTGAAAGTGATTTTTTATGTATGGAGTTGGTTCAATTTGTTCATAGTGGTTGATAGTTTAGTTTGTTCAATTTGTTCAATGTGTGTTGTCTATAGTTCAATTTGTTCATATTCTTCCCTTTCATTTTCAGCGCTTCTTCTTCGTCCAGAGTAAAGCATTCTTCTAGGATGTGAAAATGGAACTGTAGCTTTAGTTGCGCCCTAAACACAAAAACCCATATATAAAGCCCTTCTTGCCCTCCAATCCAACAAGAAATGGAGGGAAATGGTTCCAAATTGGCGGCAAATGGGTCTAAGGCGTTGAGGAGGTCAAAGGAGGTTGGTTTGACAATTATATCCTTCATAAAATGGGCACGCGATTCACATAATGAGACTTAATGATTTTTTTGACGGAAAGTCACGATAGGGATATTTAAGAGCACACATATTAACGTTAGAGACCAAAAGTGATACAAAAAAACTTTAAGGACGAAATCTGATAGTTTCGCGAACGTCAGGATGTTTTGTGATAAAAAGCCATTTATGTTATATTAAGATTATCTAGGCCGGTTTGTTAACGAAATGACGAGACAATATATAGATATTGTTGAACTATTTGTTCCAGTAACAATAATGTTATTTTAACAACTTAGTGGTAGTTAAGAGCATTTTTAGTACGATGTCATGTTTTGTATGTCCAATGATTATTCATGAAATTTGAGCTCCTTGGATTATTGAAGTGGACAAGACTTGTGCAGTTGAACAGTGTCGTCCTGTCCTGTAGCGTACTAAAGCCTCGTTCGCCTTCTCTCTCTCTCTCTCTCTCTCTCTCTGTATATATATATATATATATATATATATGTCCAATAATTATTCATGAAATTTGAGCTCTTGGGATTATTGAAGTGGACAAGACTTGTGCACTTGAACAGTGTCAAAGCAGCATCTCTCTCTCTCTCTCTTATGGTCTCAAATTGGTGGAAGCTGACCAGGAGTTTGCATTTTCTCTAGTGCTAAACCAACCAGGTGGATCTCGAGCCATCCTTTTGGTTTTATGATGGCTTATGGTTGCTGAGTGCTTGGCCCCTCTGTATGGTTTAGACTCTGATGGGGGATCTTCCTTCTTCTTTTTGTTTTGTTTTGTTTTGATTAATTCTATTTGTTGCCAATTAGTTTTCATGATCTTGTTGGTCTAGCCAGGCTTAAAAGGATTTTGGTTTGAGTTGAAGGGCTAAAAAGTATTTGAAGTTCTGGTGTAAATTTTGGTAACATTTTCTTCTGCATCATCTCATTTTAACATTATGGTGGTCATTTAGGAACTCAAATGATCAGATTATCACTTGAATTGAAATCACAAAGATGAAATAATTGAAGTGAAACTCATCAGCCTCAAGAAAATAGAGATTTGTCAAAAAGAAAATGAAGAGAATTGATAGCCTCCTATGGGAGATGCTTATGTAACTGATGAGAGAGAGACAGACATTCCACATTTTCTGAAAAACATTTCCTGACTATTTGAATACTATTCTCACTAAATAACAAAGAAGTGGTAAAGAACTTAGAAAGAATCAAAAAGCATAAGTAGATGGTTTTACATTTATTAGGTAAAATAGGTATAGTCACACAGGCTACCAGCAATGCAATCAAACTTATGGACACAGAAGTAGTGGAATGGAATGCAGCACTCAAAGCGTAACGAAATGCTAACAGATCGGAAGTGGTGCACCGTTCCAGCCCTCGAGGCAATCCAGAATCGGGTCGATAATCTTTCCCTCGCAGATAGCTGAGAACACCTTGTCGCACTCTTCGCCCGGTGACCTGACCTTTTCTCCTGTTAGGTACTCTGCACCCAACTCCTCCCTCACAAATTTGTACAATGGATAAGACCTGCATTCCGTAATCCTGTTTGGAACTCCAGCACTTCCACTATCCAATGCAGCCCTTGCACTATCCACCTCTTTAGGCAAAAGCACCTTCAGCTCTTCCTCAAAAGCAACAATCTTTTGGAAGATTGAAGTGCTTGCATTCTTCTCATTCTCACCATTTGTCAAAGCATGCTCAACCAGCACTTGCCTTAGTTTTTGCATCAATGGGTAAGTAGCACTGCAGGGGTCGTCGATGTAGGCGAAAACATATTCCCTATCGACCACTTTAAGCAAATCCTTCTCACAGAATCTTGATGGGTGGAGCTCTCCATTAACCCCAGTTGTCAAAGTTCTCTTAGCAACTTGGCTCACTGTGTTCTTAACTGTGTTCCTCAGGTTCTCCTCCAAATGCCTCAAATCAATGGCTTGGCAAAGTGCCACCAAAAATGTGGAAGACATGAGTTTCAAGATATCAACAGCTTCAGCTGTCTTTCTTGAAGAGATCAACCCCAAAGAGTTCACGTCTTGGTTGTGCTGCTCTGCACTCTGGACATGGTTAGTGACCGGGTTCGCGAGAAACTGAAGCTCAGAACAATAAGATGCCATGGCAATCTCAGCCCCCTTGAAGCCATAATCCAAACTTGGGTTCCTGCCTCCAGACAGATTTGATGGCAATCCATTGTTGTAAAAGTCATTGACAAGCTCAGAAAATTGAGCAAACATGAGCTTCCCAATGGCTGCAATAGCCAAACGAGTATTGTCCATAGAGACACCAATCGGGGTCCCCTGGAAGTTGCCACCATGCAAGGCCTTGTTCCTTGACACATCAATCAAAGGGTTGTCATTGACTGAGTTGATCTCCCTCTCAATAGATTTGGTGGAGTACCGGATCACTTCGATCTGTGGACCAAGCCATTGAGGTGAAGTTCGGAGAGCATATCGATCCTGTTTTGGCTTCTGCAGAGGGTCCTGCTCGTGCAACTTCTTAGCAGCTTTAACATAAGAGCTACCATCCAAAATATGTT